ATAATTAGAAACAAAAAAAACAAATAGATATTAACGCAAGAGGATTGGAATGAAGTGTTGTACATGGGCATGTCCAGGACGCACTCGCTGGCATCTCTCTACTTTATCCTTCTCCTCACCTTTGGAAACTACGTCCTCTTCAATTTGCTGGTTGCCATCTTGGTTGAAGGTTTCGCGTCGGAGGTGGGATCACTTTCAATTTTTATTTCATCAAATTGTACTTACATTTAGATTTGAGTTCGAAGCAAGTGTAGTCAGTTTTTAAACATGCCAACGTAATAAACGCTTCATGTGGAAATGGGATTGAAGATTAATTGTGGAAAACGAGGACATTTATTTCAGCAAAGCTCATTCCAATAATAAGCTCATAAGTTATTTGTCTGATTCATCTATTCATCCATGTTTCTGTTTAATAAAAATCGGTATTCTATATTTTTTTCCAGTTTCATTCTCACGAATTCATTCTTTTTGTTATTATTGTTTTTAATTTTGTTGATTTAGATGCAAACATTTTGTTTTGTTATGTTTCCGGTATCTACGCCTCTGCTAATGAAAATTAGGCTCTCAATGTAAATTATTAAGTTTAATACTCTACTGATTAAAAGTTTATTTCAATTTGAAGGCTGAAGAGGCAAACTGTCAAAAGTCGGCTTCCATTGCAAAATCCTTCACGTCAACTGGTTTGTTCATTTTTTTTCGCACTACGTTTTCAAACTTTTGCAATCCGTTTCTTCTAGATTATAACATTTGAAAATAAATTTTTTAAATTAATTAATTAATAACAAATTTGTTTAAAATTTGATGACATTATGTTAGCAAATGTATGATAAATCACAAACAACCTTTTTAAAACACTCACTTTTACTCAGATTCTATTGATGCGCATAAGACAACCTCCGCCACCAACAACAACAACGATGGCAACCCAGAAACTAGCAACACAAACCTCAGCTTTTCCCGACCTGAGAGCCCAGGAACTCATCATCATCAATCACATCAGCATGAACATCAGCAACATCATCAGCAACCAACCAACACACAAAACCTATCACCTATTCATTTGAACCAGTCCCAGCGTTATTCCGACAGCCAGCCCTCTAGTCGATTTTCCATTAAAATAACTGATAAGAGCAAGTACTCTGGCGTTGGTGTGTTGAATCCAAAAAATAAATGGCTGCCTCTGGTTCAACGAACAAGCAAAGTTGCAGCCAAGCACCCCACGTATCTACTTCACCTGGATAAGCTGGATGTCAACTCGATCAAGTACAAAGAGAATGCCTTCCTAGCCGAGACTCTTGGAAAGTCGGATGAAGATTCAAATGTTAATAAATTCTCACCTATTAATAAACATTAACATTTACCTACTGCAGTTAAAAATCTTTTTCATTGAAATGCAACAAAAATTGAAATGGCAGCTCTGTGAGTGCCGCTTCTGCCCAACAACACCGCATGGTTTCTTCAGGAGGAGGGTGCATTACACTTTCTACTGCATGTCACCTCTCGGCAGGTCTCTCTCATTTCTTTCTCTCTTTTTAACTTATCAATTCATTTGTCATTTATTTATTTGTCCGTTTGTTAATTAATTCTTCTATTAATTAATTAATTTTTTCTATTAATTTCTCTGGTTGAATCTTGAGGTGATTTCTATTCACATGTAATGAGAATAATTCACGTGATATTATTGATTAAAACACTTGGCTGAATGCAGGTTCAGAAAATTCTGCATTAATTTGGTGGTGAAGAAGTGGTTCGATTATCTCATCCTCTTCATCATTGCCCTCAACTGCATCACTCTCGCCATGGAACGCCCGACCATTCCCGATGACTGCCCGGTTAGTCCTTCCTTTTTATCTCTCTTCACTACTCTCAATAGTTAGCATATTAACACTAAACAGCAGCAACAATAAAATTAATCAACAACAATAGCGCTAAACTACAATAACAACAAATGTCTGATACGATCATTCAAAATTTTTTGATTAAAGGTTGCTGCCGACCGAATAAAATATCATTTCCGACAATTTCATTGAGACTAAATTTGAATTTTATTTTTTTTTCATCGTATTTTCATCATTCAGGAGCGACAGTTCCTGACAATCAGCAACTACATATTCACCATCATATTTGGGCTCGAGATGTTCATCAAGGTGGGAGCATCTTTTCTTCCTTTGTTCATCACTCTGTAGTAATAACTGAAATTAGCATTTGGACAATATTAATATTTCGTCTGCAATGTAACTTGTGATAGTTTAAATTAAATTTTTAAACTTAATGTTTTCCAACTTTTGAAGTCATTAGAGATAATATTATTGTAAAGAATTATTGAATTGAATTGACGACCGCAAAAATATCCCGTAAGGTCCTTCACTTCAGTGAAGTGATGTTGTTTGTGTTATTACTACTTTCATAATGAGGCCGGCACTTCAATCATTTCTAGCTCTCTACGGCTCTGATGTTTGTCTGGTCGTTTTGTTATTATGATTTTGTTTCAGTTTTGTTATTTGGATGTTATTTTATTAAACTCGTTTATTATTAACAAACAATAAATTTGTTACATAATGGGGCATTCCAAAAGAGTAAGTTTTAACTAAGCGGAATCCGGAATCCCCAACATTCAAAAAAGTAATTAAAAATATTATCGATGCAGATTTGTTATTCGTGTTGTTCGTAACGATGATTGTATTGAACTTTTATTTATCACCCGATACCAACGGTGTTTATTACCTAGCAAAAATAACTGCCTCCATTTTGACGTTATAGCTGGCAATAATACCTGCGTACAGACGTCAGTGTGCCCTGCTGAGACACATGAACAGCACAAGCACACATACATACACGCGTACAGTTAGAACAAGTTAGCGACACAGAAACAACAACAACAACAACAGGTAATAGCGAGAGGCTTATTGTTGGGCCACTTCGCCTACCTGAACAACGGCTGGAACGTGATGGACGGCATGCTGGTCTGTGTTTCTGTCGTGGACATCGTCATCACACTGACAGCTGACCACAGTCCAAAAATATTCGGCATCCTCCGAGTTTTCAGGATATTGAGAACTTTAAGACCTCTCAGGTTGCCACGGCCTCCTATTTGAATACATAATTTGTCCTCCTCGTTATTTGCTATCACCTCTCACAAGCAAGCGTATTTATGAGTTTTGTAATTTGCACTAGGGTTATAACGCAAGCGCCAGGCCTCAAGTTGGTCGTTAGAACGTTGTTGACATCACTGAGACCCATCGGCAACATTGTCCTCATCTGCTGCACCTTCTTCGTCATATTTGGAATTCTCGGCGTTCAGGTTTGCTGTACTTTTGAAGTTGTTTGGTATTATTATCATCATCATCATCATTGTTTATATTATTATAAATATTATTATTCAATTAGTGAAAATCTAAACGAAAAATTAAAGAATAAATTGAATGACATTGAAGCTGTTCAAAGGCACCTTCTACCATTGTGACGGACCCGAGTTGTACGATGTTAAAAACAAAAGCGACTGCTTGGGGAAGGGAGTTGAATATAGGTGGCTCAATCGTAAATACAATTTTGATCATCTTGGTCACGTAAGTTGTTGTTGTGGTCGTCGTGGTTGTTTAAACAACTTAAATTATTAAATTGCTGATGAAACAGGCTTTGATGACTTTGTTCGTGTTGGCTTCGATGGATGGTTGGGTGAATATTATGTATTCAGGCTTGGACGCCGTTGGAGTTGATCAACAGGTTTTTCATTTCTTTGTTTGTTCGTTCGTTCGTTTGTTTGTTCTGTTTGCTTGTTCGTTCGGTCGTTTGTTTGTATGAACATGTGAACAAGTATTAGCAAGGAACAAAAACCAGCAAACTAACCAATTGACGGCAAACAGCCCATAATGAACTACAACGAATGGCGTCTCATCTACTTTATTTCCTTCCTACTTCTCGTTGGCTTCTTCGTCCTCAACATGTTTGTCGGGGTCGTCGTGGAAAACTTCCACAAGTGCCAGGAAAAGCAGGAAGAGGAGGATAAGATGACTTTGGAAAAGTTTAGACGCAACGCAATTCCAGGTTCATAATAATAATAAATCGTACTCGTTTATAACGGGTCTATGGTTTTTTTTAATTAACAAACTGCAAAAACATTTAAAGCAGGTTCTTATTTTTTTAACTTCTCATTATTATTAACAAAATTAACATCATTCTAACATGCTCAACTGAATCACTTTCGTAATTTGTTGCTCGCTCACAAAGAAAAAGCTGACGAAGAGAAGGCGGCTTTCTGGCAGAAGTACCCTAGATGGCGTATGTTGGTGACTACGGTCGTCACCAGCAAATACTTCGACCTGGCCATCGCCGCCATCATCGGCCTCAACATTCTCAGCATGGCTATGGAGTTCTATCTCATGCCCAAGGTCCTTACTGCTAAGCATGTTTAATTAAATAATCACGTTTCTCCTATAATTATTGCTCTTTGTGTTGTTAATCTCTTCTCGTCTTTTATTTGACTTTTAATTTTATTCGTTTAACTTACTTGAAAATTACTAAGTATATCGCAATCAAGCCAAGCAACTTAATGAATGACTCGAACAGGAGCTATCTTTCGCGCTGAAAATATTGAACGTCTTCTTCACGGCCATCTTCGTCATCGAGGCCATATTGAAAGTTACTGCCCTCGGGTTTGTGCGCTACATAATGGACAGGTGAGTATCCACCAAGATTTCATCATCGTCCTTCTCCTCTTCTTTTTCTTCCTCTCCCTCATCATCATCATCATCATCTGCGATTAGATGGAACCAGTTGGACGTTATGATAGTGATCCTCTCCATCACGGGCATTGTTTTTGAGGAGGTGAGGTCAGGGTACGTGCCCATCAACCCCACCATCATCAGGGTCATGAGGGTTCTCAGGATTGCCAGGGGTTCGTTTCATCATCATTTATATCATCGTCATGAATGTTGACAACAACAACAACAAACTAACAACAACTAAACAGTCTTGAAATTGTTGAAGATGGCGAAATCCGTACGGGCGTTGTTGGACACAGTGATGCAGGCTCTACCAGACGCTGGCAACCTGGGCCTTTTGTTTTTTCTCCTCTTCTTCATCTTTGCGGCTCTGGGCGTCGAACTGTTCGGGAGGATTGGTTCGTGAAGTTTCTTTCTGTCATTCGCTCACTTTATAACTTCTTTGTCATCGCCGATGTCCTAATTGTTTCGCAATCAAATGTCCCACTTAGAGCCACCGCTCTGTTAATCATACCATCTTTCATTTTTTGCTCATTTTATTTCTTCACAATCTTCTTTTGTAACTCACTTTTTAAATAAAAAATGACACATAAAGAATTGAAATAGCACTAACCCCATCAAGAACACAACAAACATAACTGAAACAGAATGTTCTGAGGTGCACGAGTGTGAGGGCCTTAGCAAGCACGCACACTTCCAATACTTCGGCATGGCATTGCTCACTCTCTTCAGAGTAGCCACTGGCGATAATTGGAACGGAATCATGAAGGCAGTTTCATTCTTACCTTCCTATTCTTATTCGTCCATTCTTATTTGTTCATACTTGGTTTTTTCATATTTATGCTCATTTTCATATTTTAGATGATGAAGTGAGAAGAAAATAAAGATGACAATTGCCTATTATTACATGAAAATAATTAGGATATTTTTTCTGCAAAAATTAACTTAAAATCGATTTGGTAAAATAAAATTAGTGAAAAACGCATAACAAATAAATTTTTAATGACTATTACAGAAAAGTTAATAACAAAAATGACGACGACGACGATGATAAATTATTTGAGCAGGATGTATTGAGAGACGACTGCGACGCATCTGATGATTGTAGCAAGAACTGCTGCATCAATGCTTTCGTCGCCCCGGCTTTCTTCGTCACATTCGTTCTTATCGCCCAATTCGTTCTCATCAACGTCGTCGTTGCCGTCCTTATGAAACATTTAGAGGTCTGTTTGTGTATGTGTATGTATGTGTGTGTGTTTGTTTGCATGTATGTATGTGTGTTTGTTTGCATGTACGTATGTGTATGTATGTATATGCATATGTTTACTTGATGAAATGCTTCTTACAAATTTAGTTTCAAACAATTAACTTCATCTTGCATTTTATTTAATTATAATACACAGACTTAAAACAAGTAGGCAAAATTTTACGCAACCATTCAATCATCTCAACAGTTGAAATATTAAATTAATTAAACAATTAGATAAACAAACAAATATTAAAACAAACAAATAAACTAATAAATAAATAATTTACATTATTCCCTCGCCACTGTAAACTTCCGGTTAGGACGGCAAAGACATGAACACCGATGAGATGGATGATGAAAATGAAGGAGATGATGATGATGATGAGCAGGAGAAGGAAGATGATGATGATGGTGGCGATGGTAAATACTTTGGAACATCCATCGGACAGGATGAAGAGAATATTACTAAAGAAAAAGTTGGAGAACTGAAGGTAGGTGCAGAAAAAGGTGAACAGAAGTTGCATCTCCCAAAGAGCAGAGTAAAAATTTTCGTCAATGGCAACAATGATGGTTCTCGCGACGATGCTTTCAACAACAGTAACAACAACAACGACAACAGCAAAGACGACGAAAATTTTAAAACTAATTCACTTTCCCAACGGTATAATGTGAAATGCGAGATAAAAAATTCAGTGGGAAATATTGGAGAATGTTCGGATAGCTCTGAAATGCAAATGAATGGAATGGGCAGTTTGAGACAGTTTGCAAGAATTTTTAAAAGTTTGAAGAAAGCTCGCAGTGATGTTAATATTTGTCACAAAGTTGGTTGGCTGCCAATGTTCTAGGCGAAGTTTCATTTAACCAAACCTCATCCTATTACCTTTTCATTGTACCTGAAAATTTTAATCGTTAACCTCGTTTCTCCTACTACATTTTTTTAATTCCAAACTTCTTAGATTAATGTCGTTTCTGTTTTTTCAGTTCTTGATTTGTTTTTCTTTAGAAAATTTGACAATGTAGTTTAAATAGTATCGAGAATCATTTTATGTTAATATATAATTGTATGATATGGACAACATTACCGACAACAGCTTTTTTCATTATTTCATCTCCTTCATCACACATTTCTGAGTTTAATTTTTCTGCTGCATTCATTGATTTTTTTAAGTTTATGACTAAAGACTAGTATAGTATTCATTATAACTCAGGTGTTCGCAGCTTGGTCATTTCATTTCAAAATAAGTTTTCAAGTTTTAATCCCTTAAAAATATTCCTAATATCGTTAAATATTCAACCATATTTTTAGCTTCAAACAATTTTTTTCAACCAGCGAGGAATATTTTTTTTTTCGAATTTTCATCAAACATGTTTCACATATTTTAATAAAACCTGTAAAATCATATAAGACATGTTATATATTCATCCATCCATCCATGCCTGAAACAGGAAACACATAGATTTGCATCAAGCACGTGCGACGTGGCATCATACCGTTCAATCGATGAGGCTTCGAATCCAGCCACCACCAACAACGAAAATATCGCCACCATCGTCATTCAAACACCAAGTTTTATGGTGAGAAATTTTCTTTATGAACGATTTTGTTTAAATTTAATATAATTCAATTTTTTAATGAAATTGGATGCCAGGTTCCTCAGTAAACTGATAAATAAATTTTTTCCGATAACATTTTCAAATTAGAGTAAAGATGTCTCCGTGAGTTTGCTGTCACATGCAGGCTGTCGTCGCCATTCCTCGCTCCATGGAGAACATCATCCAAGCTACACTAAAAGCCGACGAAAACTAATTTATCTTAACCAGGAAAGTCACGAAAAACGCAACACAAAATGCAAACAAATGAATGACTACAGAACGACGCCAAAACGGCGTTATTATCACCATCACTCACCATGTCGCCAGCCTGATCATCGTTCTCATCATTCTCACGAACATCATCATTGTTATCCTCCTTCTTCATGTCAGCAGCAGCAGCAGCATCGGCAATCCCCAAACTCATCATGGCCGCATTATTATCATTCGGTGGCTTCCATTAACTTTCTTGATGTGGGCGACTGCGTCGGCCAACAAACGACCGCTAATTCTCATCTGAGCACTCATTTATGAATTAATTCCTTGTAAATTGTTATTCATATGTTCCTTCGAATAACTGTTTATTCTTTCTTTCCTTTCAATTCATTGTATTTAAATTAAAATCTACTGTTTCCTTTTTCATTTTATTAACCATAAAAACATTATTTTCAATTTATTATTTACAGTTTGTGAATTTTAATCATTCGTTCACCTATCAGGCGTTTTTAAAATTTTTTTATTTGATTTCTTTCTATTTGTCTGTACTTGATTTTTAAATTTTAAGTTTCAATATTTTAACACTCTTTATGATTCCTCATAAGTTAAATCACCCAGTTAATTTTTTGTCTACTTTTACTGTTTTGAAAATATTTTGCATTATTTACATTTAAATTGACAAAAATTGTTGTAAAATGGCTATGTGGATTTATTCAAAGCATTGTGTGCATGAAAATATATAATATATATCCATGATTGTGTGTACAAAAAACCGCTATCATATAAGTTCCATGTGACCCCATAAGCCACTGCAGTGGGCTTATGGCAGCGTATGGTTTCACAAATTCACTTTCTATGAGCCTCAGAATGTAAAATGTTCTTTGAACATGAAGATAGTTGTTAAAATAACAATTTTGATAAGTTTACGCCGTTTTTTCCATAAAAATGCCTAATGAGATCAAATAACTAGTAATAAATGGTTGATAATAGCTCAATTCTATGATTATGATTGTAATACCTCCAGTAAGCCAGTGTATTCTATCGGACAAAAAGTTATGTTTATATTCAGGTTAACAAGAATAACTTTGAATAACATAATTAGATTTAATTACATTGTTTAAAACATAATGATTCAAGTAAATACTTCATATAGCCTGTTCGTTAAAACCCATGAAATTTTATAAGTAAGCCAATAAGCCAGCAATCGAAACAAGCCAAATAGCCTGACCCGTTTGTTATCAGTGACTGGCAGTTGTGTCCATTGAATTGTCTTTTCTGATAGAATAAATAGTCATCTGAAAAGGAAGAATGTCGACAAGTGGAGCTGGTGGGGAGGATTATTCATCTCGGGGCAATGAAAATAATTCGGGCAACAATGGCCGACGTGATGGCTCTGGAGAATCTGCTCCCGCAAAAATCATGGTTGGTTTGGGTTTGGGTGATTTGATAAAATTTGGTTTGGTTTTTGGTACCATACCAACGACAACAACCTGCTCGCCTGCTCCTAGATTTTGATTTGATTTTTATTCTCATTATATTATATAAGTTTTACTTTTAATTATTAAATTATCAGTATCATCATATTTTTGTAATATAAAAATTAATAATAATTAATATATCTATCTCTATTTTAAACTTAAAAAAAAACCTTATTGTCCTGATTAAAACTTACTAAATTATCAAATTTTTGTTTATGTAATGTCTAAAATGTAATCTTACTTAACTTAAAAATTAAAATTTATATTTCAATAATAAATAATCAATCGTAATTTATTAAGTTTAATTAATTTTATAAATTTTTTTACTTCTCTAGAATCACATGTTATCAAATAAAATTGAGGCTTGCCTGTGGCTGACAAGGTTGTTCACAATATTTGCCACCGTAAATTATTTTTTTGGACTTTTAAGGTCTGTTGTATATTATGATTTTATATAATTTAATTTATTAATTGATTTAATTAAAAGCTACTCTCAATTTTTTTTTATTTTATGTTATATAATATAATAAATAATATATAAATTGTGTGACAAAATATATGTGTATATACGTGTGTGAGAGGTAGCAAATGAGTCTGAGTGAGTGAGAGAGAGAGAGAGAGACTTCAAGCAGACCTTACTAGTTTTTTACCCTATCTGACACTTTAGTCGTATCATTCCGGTTAAGGTGAGAGTTTGTATTGATTGATTATGAAATTTCTTTGAAAGTTTATTGTTTAGATTGAAAAAATGAACATATAAGTGAAACAAACTTAATGACATGTATGTGGTTTCTATCCAAAAATAAATTTTGTTTTTTGTTTCAGTGATTCTCCACACTTATTGAGTTATTATCAAAAAGTTCTTTTGAGCAATGCTATAACGAGCGCGCTGAGGTTACATCAACGAGTTCCTAATTTCCAGTTCACTAGAGAATATTTTGGTCAGTTGTTCCTGGAAGACAGTGCACACTACCTCATCTATTCCATATTGTTCATCACTTCTGGAACCATATCAAGTATTTTTTTAAAAACATTTCTAATAATCTTTTCTAAGTTATTAAAATGGCAATTATGTTTAATCTTTTGAAACCTTTGAAGTGGCCATCTTGCCATTGTTCTTGTATGCCCTGTTGCATGCCCAGGCCTATACAAAACAACTACTTAACGTATGTCTACTTTTTTCTTTTTTATCTACATCTATGTAAAATTGATATAGTTTATTTAATTTATTCATTCATGCAATTAAAACTCGTAACAAATTTAACAGCTGATTGGACCCAGCTCACTATCATTGGTGAGAAATTTGTTAAGCAAGTTGGAACAGAATCAAGTGAATATTCTTCGCTTTATAGCATGTAGTGAAATTTTTCTGATGCCAGCTATCATCCTAACATTCTTTACGTTGGTTTATTTTTTCGCTTGCTTTCGTTTCACTGCTTAGCTTTTAATTTGCAATTTTTTTAATCACTCTAACATTTCTAAACATAATGCATTGAAATATGGTTTTGCTCATTTCATTAACATATATATTATTGATCATTACAAATTATTTAATCAATGATGGATTTAATTATGAAAAAAAACATTATGTTGGAAATGTAACTGAAATGTGAATTCGTCATCAACTTGTTTTAAACTAATTGCACCAGTGGCCAGGGCAGCCTCTTCCTCCCATTCCTCTATTATCGATTCCTTTCATTGAGATACTCGTCAAGGAGGAACCCTTATTGCAAGTTGGCACCTTCATCTCTTCATTCAGTATCTATCTAAATGTTTAATCTGGTTTCACTTCATTTTGTATCTAAGATAATGAAGTCATTTTGCAAGGCAATCAATAATATATGTATCTAAAATAATCATTTATTAACTATAATCATCTCATATTATGTAATATAACTTACTTACAGACAGTTATTTTGCGAGCTGAGAATGTCAGCAGAAAGTTTGTGCTCAGGTGAAACCTGTCCCCAATTTATAAGAAGCATAGTCCACAAAATCATAAGCATAATCTGTAGACTGGCACCTTACTGATGAGAAGCAGGCAGCCTTTGCTTGGTCAATTAGAAATGTCTGTGTATTTGGTGGTTTTTATTTATTACCGTTTTAAACTAGTTTTTATATATAAACTAGATATGATTTGGAAATGTCGTAATTTACTCTGTTGTCGTTTTAATTTGGATGTTTATTATTAAGTCAAGTTATTTGTAATAATAATTTAAATGTCAACGAGCATTTAATTTTTTAATTTTGATACAATTTGCACAATTGAGATACACAAAAGTAAAAACGTAAAACTTTTGTTATCAAGTTTATTTGATCATAAAGTTAGAGATAAAATAGCAACAGCAATTAAAACATAAACCTTTGAATTTCATCAGAGTCTGGCCATTTAAAGGTTTTCTTAACAAATATTGTTAAAGTGCATGCATTGATAACATTGTAAAACATGAATTCAACCAGAATTTTGAAATAACTTTGGGAATAAGGTACATTGAGTCTTAAAAATAAAAATGGAATGATGAAATACCTCAATTCAATCAGAGAAGCAGGAACTAAGGCTGCTGCCAGACAACAAATGAAACCAAACTTCCATAAAACATTAATAGATTTGAAGAGGCGCCAAAGACTGTACATAGCAAATAAGTAAACAGGAGCCAACAAATACCTAATGCACCAATGCTTTTGAAAGACATTTTTCCAAATATAGAATATGTAGTGTCGATTATCTGCTAGCAAATATTTGTGAGACATAGTTGTGTAGTGGATGATGGTCGTGATAGCTATCACTGACGCAACTATAAACGTTGTCCTCTTTTTAATGTGTTTTAGAAAATCAGATAACGTATTTGAGACAGATATCAGTGGAAGAAAAAAGAAAAATGAAAAGGCAAAAAAGTAGAGCAGTTGAGAACAGTGAAAAGAGGCTTCATGGTCTAATTTAGCTCCTACAACAATGCCATTGTTGAACCATAAAAATATTAAAAATGCTATAATAACTATGCAGTAGGGGAAAAGATGATCAACAAAATCTTCTACTAGTGCTAACATGAACTTCATATTTGTGTGAATGATATTCTTCAAAATTAGTTTGATATTACTCACAGGGTCAGATGTAAACTCTAATTCATATTTGCTGCCATTTAAGTTCCTTCCTATAACTCTTCTTTGACCGTTTAGAACGGGGATTAATGTGAGCCAAAATAAAAATACAACCCACACTACATTCGTTTGTCGAAAGATGATGGACACAGCACCCATGCAAGCAGCCAGGCTGTGAACATTGCTCAAGTGAAAGTAATATGATAGCAAAACAAAAAATGTTGACCCAGCATCTGTGTAATAAAGAAAATTGAAGAAAAACAGAACAGGAAATGTTGTTATGTTTAGAGCAAGGAGTGATGTATGCCAACTGGATATAATCTGTTGAGGTGGAAATAATTGTTTTTCAAGTATTTTTTGATAGATAATTTCAAGGGTAAAGAAAAAACAAATTACCTCATTTTGTTTTTGCAACTTAACAACAATTATAGAAATAATGTAGAGGGTTGCGAGGCAGAAAATAAGATTGATACATCTCAGCCAGTACAAGTTGCCACATGTCTTTACATCGAACAGAACATCAATTGGCTTCAAAGAGCCTATGCTGGCTAGATAGAGTCCTGGCAATGTCGTGATCATTGGATCCCACTGTGTTGTGTAATTAATGACAATTTATTAATCACATGTACATATGTCAATCTGATTTGACTTTTAAAAACAGAAGTTAACTCAAGAAAAATGAGATATATGTAAAAGCAATTTGTAAATAATTTATTTTGCTTTAACCAGTGGCCAGTCTGGGGGTCATGGTAATATTGTTATTAAAAATCAGTAAAACTCAGATTTTTCATAGGAATAACACCATGCCAAGTAGAAAATTAACCATAAATTTTAGTTAAAGTACAACAAATTTGGCTAACTGGCCCCTCTGACAAATTCAAAATTAAAACATTTTTTAACTTTTACCTCCTACCCGCTGAAGTTGTCTAGATCCTCTCTTGGCCTTAACATTATCAAATCACTCATTACAAGATGAATATGGATAATTGTAATAAAATAATGAAAATGCTTTTTAAGGTCAATGCTAACTTTTAAAGCTGTAGTTCAACTCATACTATACTAAAATTGGTGTGGTTGTGGTGTTGCATAAATATTGTATTATTTATATATAAATTTATTATTCTCACTTTTTTTTAACTTTTTATAACCCTAACCCTGACCCTACAGGCCTACACTCTTACATTAAATTTGCCTTGGCTTTTTCTGGCTTTTTTCTCTTGAAATCTCTGCCTCCTTCTCTATCACTTGCAAAGTTCAGAGCAGATTTCAAGACCCATCTGTTTGTAAAATTCGTTGTTGACACTTCAAAAACTATTTGATTGATTGCATTAACAATTAACTGATTAACACTTTCTTATCTTTACAGTCAGATACAACAAATCCAAAGAAACGTTTGCCAACACTAAATAGAAATTACACGATATTAAGTATAAACATAAAATATTATTAATTAACTAATTAATGATGAAACAAAAAAATGATCCTGTCAAAACTTACAACTTACATGGGAAAAATTACCATTGCAATATTGACGGGCTTGAGACACATGAAAAATTTCATCCATGTATGGTTCGCTTTGATTTTCATAAATTATAAGCGCTATCACCCGGCACACCGAGGCCAGGAAGGCGAAAACAAAATTATAAAACAGATCCACGCTAAAGTAGTCCATTTCGAATGATGGAATGAACATTAGATTTATTTAATCATGTTAGATTTAGATGTGTATTAAAAGATCACTTAATTATTATTTATCTCATATGGTACCAAGTTTATACTTTTGTTGAACGGTTATAAAATTTAACTTTTGTATTACTTTCATAAAATAAAGTATTTTATTTGATAAATAATTTCTTCAACCGACTTGATCATCATAAATATCATCCGAAAAGGTACTTTAAGGTTCCAATTTACTTGTGAATCTGCTACATATAGCTTGATTTAAAATTAAATAACCAAAAGCGACGGTAAATGTTGCTTCTTTCAGCTAACCCTAACTAAGTTCCTAATATGTACATTTATTTGCTCTTAGATACAACTTAATATTTTCTTAAAATTATGAATCACTGCTGCACTTTATTTTGCTAATTTACGTTGGCTAAGTAATGTGTTGGATATTTTGAAAAACTTGTAAATACGCGCATGCGTACATGTAGTTTATTAAAAATGGCGGCTTGGAATGTTAAAATGATGGAAGAATTCGTTAACTCACCGTGGGTCGATTTACTTTCAAGTCCGCATTTCAGTACGTTAGAAAGTGAGTATACTGCAAAATTCATTTTTACGCTTTTAAAATTTCTGTTCTAACCATGTTTTTGTTTATATACATAATACTTTTTTAAATTACCTGTTAAAAATTGTTTCCACTGGATGTGAATGATCTGAAATATTTTAAACTGTTTTCCTAGTTTTCGCACATAATTATTTTTTATATTAAACTGTAAAGAAGCTGAAGTAACTAACAACAAAGATGCAGCTCTTAAAACAGAAACTGAATCAAGCTCTATGAAATTGCACAAAGAAGGTTTGAATTCTCTTGTCCCTCTTCCATCTTGCTTTTTAATTTTTATAATAAAATATTTAAAAGTAAATATTTCATCTTTTTTTAGATATGATACTTTATGGATTGTGTCCTGCTCAAGATGAATTTTTCTTGACCATTTGTGAACGATGTAATCTTTTGGTGAAGCCACAAGCTCTTAAAACTCATATCTGTCTGTTTTTTCTTTTTATTTATTAAAAAAATTATTTGACATATTTTGGTTTAAATATTTTTCAGCTGTTAGACACAAATCAGTTGAAACAGGTACATTACCAAAATATGTGTCCCACTTGGTGAAACAAAATGCAACAAACAATACTGAAAACATATTTAAGAAGCCGGGAGACTACAAAGGATCAAAGTCTCAGCCTTCAACTCCATGCAAGTATCGCACTAGGAAATCTAGGAATAGTAATACCACTAATCCTAGCAATGACATGCTTAACGATGATGTCACTGCTAACAATGAAAAAATAAATAAGAATGGTGCTAAATTGAAAAGTGTTAAATCATTTCCATCCTTTCAAGCGTCTTGTTCTAGTCGAACAAAACAAAGTTACATTTCTTCAGCTCTAGATGACAGTAGAGATTTAAGTAAAAAGGACAAATCGAGAAGTTTGTGTAAAGGTAATACCAGTATAACAAACAAATTAGAAAATAATGATAACGCTGCTGACAATGATTTCATTGCTGACATCACACCATCTACTTCTTCAGAAATATCATCACTGCATTCTCATGATGTTCTCTCGGTTGTTGATGAATATTCAAAATCACCAGATGACAAAAATAATGATGATGAGTTTTCAGATTCTGTCAGTGACTTGATGATGCCTCCAAAATTAGAACCAGAGAATATTTTCATGAGTGATGACATCATTGATGATGAAACAGCCATTCTTGATTCGTATGCTGAGTCTGTTCACTCAGCCGATGATGGAAACAATAGCAACAACATTTCAGTTAGTGAGCAACATCAGCACATCGTGTCAACTAACCTTTCTGCATGTGGCCCATCTATAAAATCATATAGCATCAACAGCACCAATAATACTAGCAACAATCATAGTGATAAAAATATTAATAAGAGAAAGAATATTTCATTTTCAACTTCAAATAAAATAGATAATCCACCAGCATTCAGTTCAAATTATCTCCCTGTTCAAAATCGTGTAATGTACATTCAGGTCGTTTAACTTTTTTTAAAAAAACACTGCTAATTTTTATTTATTTAATCTGATTATTAACTTGAAATTGCAGTCTAACCTTATGAATTTGAAGCCTGGTTTGCACCTTAAATCTGTGATAACTTCCCAAAGTCAATCATCATCGCCCTCGTTGTTGTCCTCATCATCATCAACTGCAACGACATTATCATCAGTCAAAATAGTTAATTCAATCAATTTTTCTTCATCATTAACATCACCTATTATTGCGTTATCTTCTTTATCATCATCATCTTTGTGCCCTTCAAGTTCATCTATATTATTAGTTTCTAACCATCAACCTGCGACTCATTCAATAACATTAATGACATCATCATCAACATCACCTCCACCCCCATCGTCGTTGTCTTCATTACTAAAATCGACTTTCGTTGTTAAAAATCTCAACACTGGCCAAGTAGTTCAGAAAAAAACATCTAAGCGAAGACCTACCAACCCCGATTTTGCTCTTTGTAAAAGTATTTTAGCTATGTTTCATTTGCTGTTGTTTTGTTGACATGAATATAATATTGATAAAATCAAAATATTATGTAACTTTAGGTAAATATAATTGACTTGTAATGCTTTGATTATTGAATGACAAAATTATAGACAGACAGTACGACCCAGACAAGCACTGTGGTGTGCTCATCAATGAAACTCAAAAACCATGCACCAGATTCATTACATGCAAGGTTTCATTTGTCTTAATTGATTTTAGCCTAATTTCTTGATTGATGTTAAATGACTTTCAATCAGGCTCACCCATTGATGATGAGGCGTGCTGTGAAAGGTCGGAGCAAGCCGTTTGATGAACTAATGAAGGAACAAAAAGAACGAAAAGCTGCTGCTGCTGCTGCCACTTACAACAACATCAATAACATTGGTGCCTTTTCTAATGATATTCAAGCAGTTCCTGAAAAAGTAGTAACTAAGTTGAATAGCCAGTCAACAAAAGCATCAACAGGTAAGAAGGTGAAAAAGGTACCAACGTTACCAACCAGTGAATCTCTCGAGAGATTAGCTGCTCTGCTGGGTATCAATTCCTCTCTGTCACTAACTTCACTTGCACCACCCAAATCAGCCAATGAACAGCATAGTTCTAGCACAGCTCTGCTGCTCTCTACACATCCCATCATCAAAGACAATCTAAATAATGCATCAACGCCAATATTATCAAGTTCCACATCTTGTAATGTTATACATGATGCTCCCGAAAAGCTAGTTTCCAGTTTTGTTTTATCTTCCTTGTCATCACAGAAACCATCCTTTTGGCTTCATCAGCCTTCCTCATCACCATCTATTAAGACACTTACTACAAAGCAAACTCACAAGTTTCCTTCAATTCTCTGCAAAAGTCTACCAGCATATTCATCTTTATCATCACTGTCACCTGCAAAAGCAATCCAGACTGCATCATCACTGCTACCAACTGCACATGATGATCCATCCCCATGTGTCAGTAGCTCTCTAACAACAGCTGACAGTGACATGCCCACATTAGTACCTGCTGATAAAATTGAATGTGATATCATAGATGAACAGGATTTTCATTTAAAACAGCTCTACAATGAACTATATAATGAACAACAATCTCAAAAGCAGCAGCAGCAACAAGTAGGTAAGGAAAAGAAAGGAGAAGACTTTTGGAATTCTGATAATGACTCCTCTGCTATCATTAATAAAAGACATTTGTCATCCAGGTTATTTAGTTTGCTGACGAAAATTTGGCTAGTGAAGTTTTTCTGTTAGATATGTGCTTAGAAACATTTACATGTTTATATTAAAGATTAACATTTCTGCTCTGAATTAAAAAAAAATTATTTTGAAATATTTCTATTCACATAAATTCTTAAATGAATGAATTAATGTTATTGAATAATTGATGATAGATATAATACTATGTCAATGGTTGTCAGTCATATTGTCTTATTATATTTTATCTTTTAATATTTTATTATATATACACACTTACACAGATATGTAATTAATAAAATGGATAATTAACTGATCTGATGCGTAGGTTGATGTTTGTTCCCATCTTCAATGGAAAGAGGAGAAGGCCTATTTTTAATCTGTGCACCCCTGCTTCCAAAAAGTTTCATCTTCATCGGAACAACGCGAATCATGGGGCCGGTGATAACGTTGATGATGAGTTTGATGGCATTGATGATGAAGAGAAGAAAGGAAAGGATGAGGAGGAGGAGGAAGATGCAGATGAGGAGGTGGAAGAAGAAAACGATGGCTGTCCATCTCCAGCTAAAAAATTAAAAACCACCTTCAGACAAAAACATCCCAAGCCCATTACTGTTAGTGGCAGGGTTTTTAAAGCTACTCATAAAAAACGCCGCTATCACTACCGCTACTGCAAGTGGCAAGTAGCGCCGCTATCGCTACTGCTACTTTTATTTTTTAAATATTGATCACATCACGATCTCTCATTTGCGTTAAAGTCATCTGCTTTACTGTTGATGCCTCAAAAATGAAATGGATTGTCTAAAAAAATTCGCAATTTGAAAAAATAATATTTCGTTAATTATTTTATTATTTCTATTTGAAAATCTTTTGTTTAATACTAAAAAACAATTCTCAACAATCGATGCCCATATTTGTTCAAATTAGTTAAAGTCATCTCTTAACTCTAGTTAAAAACTTAAAACTACTGGATAATACCTCGTTTTTAAAGTAAAGCCGCATTCTTAAGTTGAATAAACCGCGTTTTAAAGTTGAAACCCCAGATATTCTGCGGGTTACAATGATAAAAGAAGCACTCAAGCTGCAAGGTAACAGAAAAGAACACAAACAAAGTGATAAGTTAATGTAGAAACAATACAACGACATCTAACCAAAGCTTCTCAAATTGAAAATTCATCAATTGTTCCGTAATATCTAAAAAGTAGCGGTAGGGATCTTATATTAGCTTCGGAAGTGGTTTCACTGCCAAATGTCGCTACTGTTCAATAAATATATATGTTCAATATAACTGTCTGCTGTTAACAATCCTTCTGTGCTATGTAATTATACGATTCTCTAATATTTTTTTCATTTAGCAGTAAGTAATTTATCATTTTATTTAATGTTTTGTGGTTGCTAACAAAGGTAAATGGTTTGAACTCCTGGCTGTATAGTACTGGCTACTTTTCAACAAATCGTCGCTGCGATTCAGTACGAGCTGCTGTACTCAGCATCATCAAGCAAACAGCACCAAATAATTTCCCTTCACCACTATCTCCTGCTAAAGCAAAGTTTGTACTACTTCTTGTCTGGCTATACGCAATTTTCTTTTTTAAAAAAACTTATTTCGTGTTTAATCATTAAATGCTCTTGTTTACAGATGAATAAAATGATATTTTTTGCAGAAACTTAAAATTGTCAAAAGATAGATTATTGACATCAGCCTACAGCAACGCATTGCATCTTCATTTCAACCAACATCCATTTTCTAGATCTGAAGCAACTCCAAAATTGGGCATGCAAAAAACTATCTATACAGAATTAAAACATTTCTCATCATCTTCACCGTCACATTTTTCAAATCATCATCTACCTCTTTGTGAGATGCCCTGCTTGAAAGCAGCATCCAAGCCCAATCATTATTCACTGCCTCCGAACGTGGCTCTTGTAAGAACAAACCAATCATCTTCACTCAGTTCCCAGCAGAATATAAATGTCTTCCTCGATCACGATGCTGCTATCAGCGACAAATCCCTGACCGCACTACAGCAACTATCAACAACTTCACTGCAACCGTCAACAACACTAGCAACAGCATCACAAGCAACACTGATAGCTGGATCTTTGAATGAACCAAATGAACAAAAGCTTTCTAATTTCAACCATGCTAGTAAGAGTGTTTCAAGTGACAGCAATGTTCAGTTTATATTATCTTTTAGTAATTTGAAGCATTCATCGAATGCTAGCACTGAATTATTTGCTACGAGAAATAAATTATTGCAAGCTTCGTCATCATTATCATCGTCATCACCAACAATTCCAAAGATTTTGTCTAACTCGACTGCACAGACACCTCTTAAGACAGGGACGTTTTTAAATTACAACATTTCAAATGTGGCCACACCAAACAAGAAGAACAATCCTATTGCCATTCTTGTGCAGCAGTCTTCCACTTCAACAAGCCAATCAGCCAACAGTGACAACATCATCAACGACAATAGCATTAACAATAACATCAATATCAACAACACAGCATGTTTCCTTTTCAATACTCAATCAACGTCGCCCTCTGATTGCAGCACCATTAACCTTCCAAACAATTCCGTCAGTTTAAGCAACAACATTATAAACTTCAACAAAAACAACAACAGCATTATTAACATTAGCAACATTTCTGCGAGCGGCAATAGTACTAAAACATTCAATGCAGTTACACTGAATGCAAAAGCAACAGACACCTCACCACAACTTCTACCAACCACCTATCAAAATGGCCACATCATTGGACACAGCACTTATGACAATATCATTAGCAGCAAATCAAGCAAAATTATAAATGTCAGTAACAACGTGATTCACAACAGCCACAAACGATCATCCTCTATTCTCCTTGCCAGCAAAAACAAGTGGGCTAGAGTTGATAGTTTTGTCTCATCATCATCGTCTTCTTCGTCATCGTCTTCTTCGTCATCATCTTCAACGTCAGCATCACAAAGTATTAAAAGTTATAATCTCGCCAATCCTCCAGCAACTATGAAATCTTCTACACAGGTGACATTTCAATATTAATTATTCGTTTATTAATTATTTATTTTATTATTTTATTTTAATTAATTATTCAGTTATTTTAATTAATTATTCATATTATTTGTTTGTTTGTTTGTTTGTTTGTTTGTTTGTTTGTTTGTTTGTTTGTTTGTTTGTTTGTTTGTTTGTTTGTTTGTTTGTTTGTTTGTTTGTTTGTTTGTTTACTTGTTTACTTGTTTACTTGTTTACTTGTTTACTTGTTTACTTGTTTACTTGCTTGCTTAATGTTTAGTTGATTATTTTTTTATAACTTTACTTAAAAACTTTGAATGAAATTACCTCCAACCCTGTCCAAACAGCAGCAGGTGGTGTTCAGCAACAGTGACGTCATTTATCATCCTTCTCATTCATTATCAGCACCAGCAACATCAGCAGCAGCATCATTATTTCTGGTTGCTCCTACTCCTTCAAGACATGGTTTGTGCATTCTTTACAAATATTTTAGTTTTAACTTCTCAACTTCTCCATGATAAATTTCACTTTGATGTTTTTGTGTATTTCAGATCAATCACTCGTCAATTCGATCTTTTTGATTAACAACAAGAGATTGTCCTTGACCTCAGCAGCCCATCTCATCCACCCACCTCCCACCAACCTTTCAACCATCGTGTCCGCTCAGCAACAACCACTACTCTCATCCTCACCTTCATCATCATCTTCATCGTTGTCCTCATCATCTTCATCTTCTTCTGCGATGCCACTAGCTTCAAATTTTCTGTTATGGAATGCCAACAAAAAGGTCCAACAACCACAAACTGTAATTACTGTTGCTTCCCAGCCTAAGGCACAAAGATTGCAGCTTATAAACACACACACCAACAACAATGCTACTAGTGCATTGTTAACATCATCAACGACAACAAAAACATCAAATTCAATGACTTTGATCAAACTAAATAACTCGAGCTCTTTAACTGCCAGCACATTTTTTAGCAATCCCGTTTTCAAAACAGAGGTCAAAGGTCGATTGAATGGAAGTGCAACAGTCCATGGTCAGATAATGTTGGGCAGTAGGCAACTCATCTCTCCTAACCAGTCACCCACCACTCTTAAAAATCAAATGCTTCTTAAAGAATTGCTTGGATCAGATAATTAATGCATTCTTGTGCATGAATTATGATGAATGATGGATTAGTGCAGTGGTGGCCAGACCAAATGAATTAATGATTGACTGCTGGCTTGATTTATTAGATTATTAATTCAGTAATAAGTTGAATTATATTATTTATTCAATTTCTTCATTCATTCGTTCAATTTATCATTCAATTCATGCTGTTAATCCTAAGTCCATTAAGATAACTCATCCGCCATTTTATGTCTTTCCGTTTGCATGTTTGTATGTATTTATATGTTTCTGTGTGTGTGTGTGTGTGTAAGTATGTATGTGTATGATTGAATGTATGTGTTTTTGTATGCTGCAGTTTTATTTAGCTGTGAGCTTGACTGGTTGGTTGAGTATCATTTCTGTATATAAATATTCTTGATATTGTAAATATATATATATGTATATATATATGTATATATATAATGTGCGTGTGTGTGTTTTTATTTTTTTGTAAACGTTTTGATCATTGAGTTATTTTATTTTATTTTACTCATCATAATATTCATGGATTGAAAACAACGCTAGTAATAATATTATTTTCTACTATTTTTATCTTTGTGAAAAGTTCTATGTACGTATAAACAAATGAATTTATACATATTTATGTACATACAAATAAATATACTTATTCACACACACACACACACACACACACACATATATATATATATATATATATATATATATATATGTGTGTGTGTGTGTGTGTGTGTGTGTGTGTACATATAGTATCAACACGACTTCACCAATGTTTGTATGACTAATTGATAGATTCGTTAATATAATTAGAATATAATAATTTAAATATTGTAATTTTATAAACTGTGAAGTAACTGATGATGTCTTTCATTCATTTTCTTTCTCCATTTTTCAATAGTTAAATACTTTGCTGTATTGATGTTTTGTGCAGAAAAATTTTATACTTATACCAATGTTCATTTTGGTCACATTATTTATTGTATTATTGCGTTTAAGTACATTCTACCAGTACATGCTCTGCGCATATTCTACCAACAACCAATATACATAATATTAATATGTATGTATGCATTTATTTATGCGTATAAAATAATTTTTGTGCTATAAAAAAATGATCCGATTATAGGTATGAATCATTACTAAACAAGGAGAGTGTTTGAGGCCGTTTCGATGATGACGAGAGATGGTTGGATTTGTACGTTTGATTAGGTTGGAGTGAGGTGTAAGTACACAACAAATACACATGGAACGAAGCTTGCTAGCTGTTGTAATGTTGTCCATCTCTGGTGTCCATATGTACGCGTGCGTATCAGTGGTATATCTTGTACGTTAATGTGCTCAGGCGTCAACGTCATAAATGAGGGCACAATTTCTGGGACACAAAAGAGTGTTTAAGAAATCTAAACAAGTCATCTTAAGTTGATGTTTTTGCGCTATTGGTTAATTAGGTTATCGTAATTTTAAAAGCAGGTCGCAATAGAGTAACGGGCACATATTTGTTATTGTGACCGCTCTGTTTCCATCTTCCAAATGCTGAACGTAAACTTTACGTGCTTCAAAATGGCATTTGTTTCAAACTTTTTTCCATATGAACAACGGCAGGTCAGTTAGACTTTTCCAGTATCGAACAGATAGCGTGAAACAACAACACCTCGCCATGTTAGCTATTTTTATTTAAATTTTTATTTAATAAATTTTAAATTCTACTCGTATGTTGCTCCTGCACACTGCGTAGTATCTCTAATTTTTTACATTATACTACATGTGGATACGCTAACATCACATCTAATCATTCATTATTTTCCGACATATTTTTTTATCATAATATAAATATAAACTCTTATCTATAGTTTTGGTTGTGAATTGTGTAATATGTTCGTGCTGATGAAGATGATGATGCTGACGACATCACTGACTGACGCTGACGAAGGCGACCATAATAAAATGATAACGACATTTCACATAAAAATCATTAATTTTCTGATCTCATGTCTTCATTGTGAGATTCAATCCTTCATTATTAATCAGTTAATAGTATGCAGGATTTGTTGTAAATGTCCTCTGCACATGTGTGTCTGTAATGCATGCATATGTTTATCTTGGTGTGAGCGCCGGTTGGTGCACTGTCACTTAGTGCTGAGATGTGATGATATTGCTTTTCGTCCGTCTCACGCTATATGGTACAATATACGTACAGTATGCATTATGTAAGCAGTATATATATATACATATTAATGTATATATTATATATACACACGTACTGTGCTTTACTTGCGTCTGAAATATACGTACCCGTTTATAAAGTATTATTTGTCAGGCATGTTCCGGCCTGCAGCACGGACACGCGGCCGTCAGAAGTAATTTCACGCGTTGATACATCATACGGGGATTAGGGAAGTGATGTTATTTATTCATTTTAATTATTGTCGATTGGACAAGTTTGAAAAATGTTATACACTCGTTTCTTCCTTCATGTAGCTACAGAATCTTTCTCTACCTTTATTGTTTTATACGCATTTTAGTGACTCATAATGGATATATATATATACATCATACGGGATATATATATATATATATATATATATAGGTATTATTTAGTTGAATATTTATTGTTGGTTTACGTTTATCGATGAAAATTGATTCTGCTATCTTCAATTTGAAGTATTCTCTGTTATAATAAATTGCTTTGGTGTTATAACACTATTATAACAAGGGAAATTTTAGATAAATACGTAAACCAGCTATATATATATATATATATATATATATATATATATATATCGATACATACGTGTATGTATACGCTGAAAGAAGACCGTAATTAACAAATTGCTTTCGTCTTTCTAACGGTTAATAAGCTATGTAGGGTGCAATTAAAAAATTTTAAAAATTAATCGTTAACTATAAAAAGCTAAAAATTTGGTAGATTTTATTACTTGTATGTATTATTGTATGCACGCAATTATATAATGGTACATTTTTTATTTGGAAAACGATATTATTTCGGAACGAATCCAAGCGCTTTGTTTGTTTGACAATCTGAAAATATTCGCTTTCCTTTAACTTTCAGTGATAGTTATTAAAATCATAAATGAGATTTGTCTGTTACGTAATATTGTAAATTCTTATAACATGTTAAATTATTTGTTTATAGTGTTTGTATGCTTTTGAGCATTAATGATAGTTAAAAATTATTATTATTTATTCAAGTATTTTATCCTACATATAAAATTGTGTAATGGATGTGTTAGCGTGTTTTCATGTGCGCAACAAAATTTTTCATTTTTTGTGTTTATTTTTATATTTATAATATTGAAATGTATTACATATTGTACAGTGAGAAAAGATGAATTAATATAAAAACGTTTACCGTGTATGATGCAGTTAAATTCCGATCTCACTCTTAAATATTTTATGCTGTGATATATATATATATATATATATATATACCTATATATATATATATATATATATATATATAGGTATATATATATATAAACTTTTTAAAAATTTTGATGGTTCGTTGGCTACTTTGTAATTTGTTCAATGGCTAATTTAGTTCAGTGTGAAAGTGCAGCGACTGCCGATCATTTCAAAGTCATTTGACTCCTTTCCTTACTTTGAATGTTTTGTTATTCCTTGTGTTACAGAGTGGATGCTGGATACAAAATCTTACTTCGATCAGTCCTCTTTATTCAAGTAAAATACGTTGATGGGATAATTAGGAAAGTTGTGAGTTATGAGACGATAGTAATTAATAATTGATTGATTGAAATTGTTAGATTATTATGAATTGTGACATATGAACATTTTGTACGAACATACTTTCCATGCCTAATACAATACAGGTAAATATTTTATGCTGGTGTTCTATCGAGATCCAATTTTAAATTTTTCTTATTTTAGCCAACTTTTTTTTTATTAAAATCCACTTTTAAATTAATTTATCAATTTCTTTATTTATAAATTTTGTAGTTGTAACATTACTTATTCAAATTATATATCAAATTTTAAATGGAAAATTATTAACCAAGAAAAAAATAACAGTTATGGCGGAGAAATTGCTTAAAGCTTTCGAAAATATGAAAATGTTCAATGTTGCTGATGATGACAGCCTTTCATTTCCATCTTTCCCACCAAAATTAGGGTCAAAATTAAAAGACGTTGCCCCACTGACAAAAAAAGAAAAAATTCAAAACTCAAACGTCATAACCGACTGCCTCACGTCAACGCATTTAAGAACCAATCCTGATTTTTCAAAGTTTTTAAGTGCGTCAATTGAATTGATGCTATCACTAAGTGATGATGAGGAGTCTGATGTTCGCATTGTTGCAGATGAGTGCCTAAATAAAATCATCAAGTCGTTGACGGAAACACACATAAGTAGAATACAAGTTGAACTGTACAAAGAAATAAAAAAGAATGGAGCATCAAGATCTTTGAAAGCTGCTTTGATCAAGTTTGGTAATCTTTGCCATCATATTCGTTCTCAGAAATGCAGACCTTATCTTGTCAACATTTTGCCTTGTTTGTCAAGGATTAGTCAAAGGAGTGATGAATCAATTCAAGAATGTCTTTTATCATTTATGCACAATATTAGTTCTATCCTCATTCCTTATGCTACTGAACTTGAAATAAAGATGTTGATGAAAATGTTTCTAGCAAATGTGGTCAATTCCTCTCCGTGCACAAGAAGAACAGCTGGTCAGTCACTGGTTCTTATCTGTCTCAACTCTAATTTTTCAAGATCATCCGTCATCTGGTTATTTCAGCAACTAATCAATGACCTTTCTAAAGACTCACCAGATAAAATAAGTCTCACCGGTTGGTTACTGGCTGCCAGACATCTTTTATCTTATCCAATTTCTAATCTGAATGCATCAGACAGACACAACTCAGTTCATGATTATAATTCATCTCTCTCAACAAAGCAAGCTTTACTTATTGACAAGTTATTGGCTCAAGTCTTAGAGTTGATACTTAAGTACTGCAAACACGAGGATCATAATGTGGTCAACGCATCACTGGAATGTTTGCTCCAATTCCTAAAGCATATTCCAAGTAGTGTTAGACAGGCACTTGTCAGTCAAAATGGTTTTCAACTTTTAAGCCATGCTACTGATTTGTCAGAAAACAAGGAACCAAATGCTGCGGCCACTGTCATTAATGTTGATGTGAAAGAGACATTTGAAATGCCCTTCAATTCAGTGGATGAGTTATTGGAAACTCAGACAGACTTGACTGTTTCAGCTTCTATCAATGATGATCAGTCAGAAGTAGCAGTGGAAGATTGTGATGATGCACTGAATGAACTGGCTGCTGCTACTACCACTAATAAAAGTATCAGTGACAGTTCACTCTCTGGCATTGCTCAAGAAATAAATTTGGATTTTTCATCAGTTTTACCCTTAAATTATTCTGCTGGTGTGAGAGTCTCTTCTAACCTCACTCTAAATCAACAGGATAATGAGGATTGTGATGTGAGTAAAAAATTGAAGCGTGTCAATGAAAACAATGATGATGTTGATGACACAGGAACATTGTATGACACAACTCAACCACCCATCCTACATCTTGCTAGATTTCTCTGTAAAGAATTCCTCCTATCAGGAAAAAAAAGTACTCTAATGGATGACTTCCAGGTACGAGTTAGTGTGAAGGTCATTTCAATTAGTTGTTTAACTTTCATTGTTGAGATACACCCCTACGTACTTGATGAGAAATTGAAGAGGAATTATGTAGATGGTGATGTTCAGTTTATGCATGACGTGTTGTTATATAAAAGACATGCAGACCCACACATCAGAGGAAATGTTGCACTGCTTGTTGGAATGTTTATTTCTTCATTAATTCTCAATTCAAATCTGGACCATAATGCTCATCGACATCATCATTTTGAAGGCAATCTGCAGTTGAAGATGTTGCTCCAGGTTTTGATTGAGATTTTCAACTCTGAATCATCAGTCGCCAGCAAATGCAGTTTGGAAGCCTTACAGTCATGTTTGCCTTTATTAGTGAGCAGTTGTTATGGGGAGGATGCATTGGAAATCATCCAGCATATTTTCCAAGTCAATAGTAACAGTTACTGGCTCGTTAAGATTGAGTTGCTAAACCTGATGGCAGTTCTGGACTACAAAGATATTTTACACCATCAAAAAATGCTTCCTTCTTTCAATTCAAAGTTAGTTATATATGATCAAGTTCTTGATATGATTATGACAATGTTGGGAGATGATGATTCAAGAGTTAGAGATGTAGCAACCTCAGCTATATGTCAAATAATTATGAAGCATTTTCATAATATGGAGAATAGCCACCTGGATTTGATAATGTCACAGGCATATCAATGCAGACCTGATCATTTGTTATTTGATGAGAACACAGATTCTTCACTATCTCGAGTTATTAGAATGATTTCTAAACACATGCTTCATTCAACAAGTAAACAACTGACTGCAGGCTGCTCTAATGCCTTGTTGAAATTGACGCACCAGTTTCCAGTTGATAAGTTCATGAACTCCTGGATGGTACTTTTCACAAATTCTTCTGCAGCCAGTTTTAAGCAGTTTCCTAATATTAGACTTAAAAATCTCGGACACATTCCAAGTCTCAACACTGCTAACGTGACTGCAGCAGGAAAAACATCATCAACAACTGCCCCTGCTGCTGCTACTAAACTGAAAGCAACAAACGAGAGCATGAGTGCAGCAGCAGGCCAGGTCATCAATGAATGTGATTGGTGTACAACATCTGTCGGTGGTTTGTTACCTTTTATCATCTCCAACATCACATCATCATCATCACTGGCACATGATATGAACTTTCATTCGGATGCCATCAGACTTGGTGGGAATATTTTTATTGGACTGGCTAGAAGACGTAGCTTGGAAAGAGCAAAAATAAACTCTGAATGTATGTGGATGATTCTAAATGATCGACATCTTGCACAACTTGCTGAACAGTTCTTCGTACATCTCATGAAAATGATGAACATATTCAGTTTGGTCATCCTCAACTGTGCAATCCCAACTTCTACAACATCAACAACACCATCAACTACATCTGCAACAACTATCAAATCACATTCATCACTATCATCATCATTGTCAATGCCATCCACGGGTACAACAATGCCATCATCTTCTTCATCAGCAGCAGCAACTGCTACATCTATGGTCAGCCCAATAAAGAGGAAGATGAAGTTAATAAAGGATGAACCGATGAGCAACACACAAGACAAATCATCCTCTGTTAATAAGGATTTATTATCGCTTAAAGAGGTCTTGGGCGCCTTTCAACATCTTCAGCACTATCAACAACTTTACAATGTACTGAAAATTTCTCATGCATCTTATAAGATATCAGGTGACTTCACAAGTGACAAATTTTGCCTGATGCTTCAATCGACACTTCAAGTTCTCTCGCAGATGCTGGACATGTGCAGTTACAGGGAGGTGGGCAGGTGTGCAGAGGAGATGCTCTCCTACTTGGCGTCCACATTTTCTATTGATCCTGTTAACACACTCATTTCCACTCAGCAGTTATTGAAATCTCTTTTTGGTACTAATTTAATTAGTTCCGTGGGAGCTCTCGATCAACCAACAGTATCAAGAGGGATGGAAGTATTAACAGAATCTTCAACATCACCTACAAAAACCACAAAACGACAACAAGAGAATAAGTCGGACATATTTAGAATTTGTTTCATAGATCATCTTAAATGGCATAAACAAAATTTTAGCAAGCTCGCTACCACTATGAATGAATCTCCTGATAAGTTGTTACATTCATTCAGAAACGTTGAACACGTTCAGCATGTACCGGCGACCAATAAACTTTTGCAGAAGTATGATAAAACATCGATAGCCACCTTCATAAAGTTATTTGAACCTTTGGTCATTCGAGCATTGAAACAGTACACAATAAGCAGTGCTGTGACATTGCAAATACAAGTACTGCAACTGCTGGTGAGCCTCATTAAACTGAGAGTTAATTATTATCTACTTGATTCTGACCAAATATTCATTGGGTTTGTTATGAAGCAGTTTGAACAAATTGAAAGTGGGCAAATAAATCAGAAAGAGAGTCACATACTACTGAGTGAAATAATGAATTTCTTGGTGCAATTATCTGGTGAGAAGTATCACAGTAAACCTGTCATCACCATTCCTAAAATAATTCAACTCTGCGATGGTATCATGGCAAGTGGTTTGAATCCTGTTAAGTTTTGCATCCCAAGCTTGCATTACGTAACTAAGAGTTTGTTCGCATTAAAATATGAAAATTTGTCTAGTAATTGTAGTACCGGTAGCAGTGTTAGTTGTGGAAGTTGCAGCAGTGATATTGAAAGATGGTCAGTCAGTATCATGTCATCATCTCAGGAGGTCGAAACTCAGAGAGAGGTTGTCATATCCATGCTGTTGCGAGTTCTTTCCCACTGTGAAGCACTCGAGCTCTTTATCCTGGTGCTGAAGCACACACAGGTGGAAAGCATTGAAAAGTGGAACAAGACATCTAGACAGCTGGCCGATGTATTTTTCTATTTGTTCAAGAACGATAAGATATGTATAGAGAATATTTCTGATATAAAAATTTTGGAGGCATTGTTGCTGAACATGTCATCTTGCGTGTACAGGCCTGCTAACACTCTGGTCAATCTACTTTTTTCATCACATTCAGTTAATACTATTTCAGATTTAAACAAATGGTTGATGAAATCATTGTTTGCTTTCAAGGCTTTAACGTCATATTTATCTGAAACTTACATCGAGGCAAAGTCGCACGACATGAATCTCTCCTGGACGACTAACTTCGAGGAGATGACGTCATCATCGTCGTCCTCTTCCTCGTGTCTCTATTCTAATGAGGAGTTGTTGTTGCCCAGATTGCTTGTCGACGCAATTTTAACATCCATGCTCCACGTACAACGAACTGTTGAGCAACAAAAGTTTCAACTTCACCGACAGCAGAAACATCATCTTCCTTCATCTCATCAATATACATTAACGCAAAATGTTACCAACAACCTCGCAGCACACCTCCGCTATGAACAGCATCTACAACATGAGCTGCAACAGAAGTCTTTTGAAGTTTTGTATTATTTAACCACTGATCTTCTGACATATGTTGTTTATTCAATAAATGCTGGTATATTGGAATGGACTAGTGAACAAATGAATCATTTGATGAAGAGCACAGAGTATGTACCCATCGTAGATGAAATAAATGAGAACATTATTCTATTGACCCGTCTGCAGCCTGCTATCTCTACTAAGTGGTTTCATCTCATTCTCTCTCTTAAGCTCGTTGACTTTGAACAACAGTCTCAGCTATCTTTCGGACCTCCACTTTTAAATTATCTATTCGAAAGCGAAAGTGAATTTTTACCCAGTTGCAAACAATTTCGTCAGAAACAACAGCAAAAACATTTGAAACAAAAACATCACATTAAACCACAACAGTATGTTTCATGTAATCAAATATTTGTACAGCAGGCTGTTTTCTGTCTTCTTTCAAATTACTCTATGTCCAACAGTGATGAAAAGTTGATTGTATGGCTACTTGAAAGAAATATTGATAGATTGATTGCTCTTTATAATAACTGCCAGTCTGTTTACCAATTTGTAAGGCACGTGCATGCAAATGAACGACTCAGTCGACTACTTTGTGACTTGACATTGGCTCATTATAGATCGAATAGAAGGATGCACAGCCAGCCACACAAGATACGTGATATGCTTTCATGTTTGTCGCGAGTGCACATCTCTGCGGTAGGTCACGTGACAATCAAACTGATTACCACAATGTTACCTCACATCTGTTTGAATGTTTCTTACTTGATTGAAAAGATGGTATCGTCCTACATTAACATTATGTTGACCACCGATTCCATTCAGTGCAACAAATTGATTAGCGAGAAAGAGGTTGATGAGTTAATAAAATGCCTGGCAAACTACAGCTCAAAATGCAATTTGGATGAATTAGTTGTGAAGCTGAAGGAACATATGAAAAGTGGAGTCAAAATGGATAAAGCATCATCTTCACTTGGGTTTGGCGCTGTCTCAGAACTTAGAAATTGTATAATTGACAAAGATATGATGTTTGAAATAATAAAGAAAAAGTGTGAAATTGGTGCATGCAGGGTGGATGACTGTGCAGTGCTGTTGGCTTCACTTAGTTATTCATCCATCAAATTTATCATGGCGTCTGAAAATTTCAACCCGGAAGTTTTGAAATCATGTTTTGATTTGGTGGCCATTCAGTGGAATCTTACAATATCACGAACAATATCATCGAGCTTGAGTGATTTCTCAAAGTTAGCTATTAAATCGTTGCATGATAAAATAAAAGTTGTGTTGGACAGACTTCCCACTCCTCATCAGTTGCTCTTCATTAACGACCCAACACACGACAAATACACTTCTGACGTTTTGCTGCTGTTTAAGGAGCCTCAATTCAACAGGTCTGTCAACGTTCTCTCACGGGTACTGCAAAGTTATTTAAACATCCTACCTGATGCAAGTGAGGTTGACGATAATGTTTGTCGGCTGGTCGTGCTGTCTTTTGAACTGTTGCATTTTCATTTGATTAAGAATGATGATGATGAAGATAGTGATGGTGACAACGATGAGGATGATGATGAAGCTGGTGACCTGCGTTGGAGTGAAGTCGTGAGACTGTTAAATCTTCTCAACGTATTGCTGGCCAATGACAATTTCAAGAAATTTTTTTATTCTGCTAACAACAAGAACAACAAAAACAGCAACAACATTGAGGATGGTGATAATAATGAAAACAAATCATTTGCTCTATCGGTTATATATCACACATATTACATTCTACAATTTAAAATTTTCAACCTGGGTTACAAGAATACACAGGCCTTGTACCAAGTGTACAGAAAAATACATCTTCTTGATAATGATGCTCAGTTAAAATATGCTTGCGAGATGATGAATGATATGACAGCTCATATATATGGCAACCTCAGTGACAACCACAAATTTCTGCTGATGCTGAACCAATCTAATGTTCCTTCATATGTTCATCTTAGCAGCTCCATGCCTACATTTATACGTTCACCTTTCAGAAGATTGTTGATAAATCTTAGTCGTCTGCCTCTGGTTAACAGTTACGTGCGTACCCCACAGCCAGTTTGGAGGATGGGATGGAACCCGACGTGCTCGCATCCGAACGCAACGTCACACCCTCCAGTACCATTCAGTTATTTGAGAGAAAAACAAGTTCTCATAGAGTACATCTGCCGAGTTAATTCCATTGGTTCGTTTATTATTTGTAAATTTATTTGTTTATTCATCGTTCGTTTGTCATTCGTTCATTAATCATTGAACTAACTTACTATTGGTTCGTTTGTGATTTATTTATTTATTCGTTCATTCATTCATTCATTTACATAAGGTTGGACAAGCAGGCAGCAGTTTGAAGAAACTTGGATGAGTTTTTTGGGGGTTTTGAATCCATCGCTGTACAATGAAGAAGAAAATTCAACTGAAGATTGTCACGAAAATGTACACTACCAGATATTAGCCATGCGATCAATCACATGCCTGCTTCTACTAACTTCACACACACCTTACCCAGGTAATCCTTCAATTGGCAGGTTTTTGCACATGCCCAGAAATCAACTAACTTCATTTCTCAAATCCAATATTGGTTTAAAACTTTTGTCAATTCGTCACCTTCTTGAATATGATTTGAAAAATTATCGTTCTCATCTCCACCTTCAGCAGGAGATGTTTGGAAAATCATCGTCAACAAACGGCGCAAAGTTTCTAAAAACTTGCGGTCTTCTTCCATACTCGAAGAACGTTGAATGCGTGGCAGCACTTGGCATTAGCAGTGGCAGTTGCGCCGAAAATTTTTATATGCCTGGCCAGCTGAGCGTCTCGTGGATGATTTCTACTCAGCAGCAGCGAGACACAGATAATATTACAATTGCCATTGACGCACTATCAAGTAAAACAACGAGTAAAACAACAAGTTCGGCTGTACAAGTTGTGCACAGCACAGATAATTTTATTTCTAACGTAGCTGCCATTTCTACTGATAATACCGCTCCTATTGCTAGTGTGGCTACTTCTCCTACTACTGTCAAAATATCAGAAAAATGTGCAAAACTTACAGCCACTGATAATGACTCGAAAGATGATGAGAGGTATATAATGATAAGAGAGTGTTTCGAAGATTTTTACTCATTCTCTAGATGTGATTGTTATTTAATTGATGAACCACTGGATGTAAATTCTTGTCTTCAGCTCTTGTTGGACCTCTATGGAACTTTTATATCCTCCCATTCGTCGAACACATCTTCATCTATTTCTAAAGTTCATCTCAACCTTCTTCTAGAAACTGTCAGGTCATTGCTTCTGCTGTCAGATGTCTTTGTGAGTGCCTCGCAGTATGAGCTGATGCTTATGAGTATGATTGACATTTATAAAAGCCACCCCCAGGAAGATGAACTCTTGCTATCCTATGTTGTTCTGGCGATCTGCAAGTCTGCTTCTATCCAAGGCACGGTCAGTTGATTGATTGTTCCACTGACTGACTGGCTGGCTGACTGGTTACTATTTCCAGTTTGAATGATTGAAAATTAAAAATTTGACTGAGTAAATAAAAATTGATTGATTTGTTGGTGAATTTAATAATTAATTTATTTTTCTTCTATTCCGTTTCATTATATTAACTATTCTTCTTCTCCAAAATAAGGAAATGAACTTGATGTTTAGAGTTCAGAGGGTCATTGAATCGTGCCTGAAGAGTACCCACCTACCCACCAAGATATTCACGCTGTATGGGGGCCTCTACTTATTTGAGAGCAGCTGTCCGGAGAATGCATCTCTTCTGCTACCTGTCTACGTTGACTACTTAGTAAAGTCCCTTGGTAACTTTTCGCCGTAAGTAAGGCTACATGATAGTGATGGCAGTTGAGCTGATGTTTTAATTCTGATTTAAATATGCTGAAATAACGCACAAACCTACATAATCACAAACAGATCGATCATATATAGTCAGGAACATGTCATGGTCATGCTCTCATTAGGTTTCTTAATTATGGAAAAGTACTTCCACATTATTCGCGATTCCGAATTCAATGTTACCTTCACGAAGGTACCTTGGTAGTTATAATAATAGTAATAATACTGATAATTATTATAATTATTCTTAAAAATGTAATTATTTTAATCCATGCTAACATTGATCTTAATTAAGTTCTGAATCACGAGTTCAAATATTCATTCTACAATTTTTGTTTATTTACAAAAATCAAACTGAAAAATGAAATACAAAACATGAATACAACCTTAATTTAAACAGTTTTTGGCATTGTTGATTCGTGTGAGGTTATATATCGTAATATTGATAGCTAATTTTCTGACAACGTCAATTCTTACGTTACATTTATTTTTAATGAAGTTTTTCATAATTAATTTAAAAATGTTTGTTAAAGGTTTGTTATTTGTTCCTAGCCATGGCTTTCACTTTACTGATAACATTCACTTTTCTTTTTAAATAGTTGCGCTTATTTAATTCCATTATTTGAGTTTATTATAATTTGTATGATAGCTCTGTTTCAACATGGTCTCCATTTATGAAGACGCCATTCCACTGCCTCTCTACGAAGCTGTCATGACGGGTCTGGAACGCCTGCTTGTTTGTGGTTCTGCAAGTTCCACACATCACATCATCGATCACCAAGCGTTAACGAAGCTGGCTATTGAGAGGTTGGTTGTGGTGACTCGTGTTTAAATATATGGTGATAATGACGACCATATTCATGATGAAACAGTTGTTGATAAAGTAAGTTGGTGTGTCTATTAAATTTTCTACAGGTTCTCGCAGCAAAACACAAAACGATCACTGATTGCTTTCAACGTTCTCATCTCCTGCATCTATCGAGGTCGTTACTGATGATGATACCGATGAACAAAGTGATGATGATGATGAACAAGATGATGATAATGGTGTAGGTAATGACGATTACAAAAATGAGAACGACGTTATTGGTGGTAACGCTATCTCATCGCATTTTCAGATGAGGATTTATGCACATGAAGTGTTGATTGTTACATATAGTGGAAAGAATTGATGAATTTATAAATAAATAAAATATGCATTAACAAGTTGGTAAATAAATAATCATAAAGAACTGGAAAGCACTTCAAATGATGATGGCGACGAAGCCAACTTGATGGAAGCTGCTGGAGGAGATAGGAAAGTGCAGTTGATGGAGAGAGCCACTATAATATTTGATAGGTCTCTTTGATTTTAGTTGTTATTACTAATATTACTTTATATTTATTATGTATCAAGCAATAAAAATAAATGAATAACATGACAACAATACCGGCATGCCCAGACGAAAGTAATTATTTCATAATGGCCTATGTAATTCGTGTTGTCATAACGTAGATGAGTCAAATAATTAAATAACTAAATGATTGATGTTTGGCACATAGAGTAAGGAAGGGTCTACCATTTGAAGCCAACATCGTCCTCCACGTCCTCCCAAACATTCTTTTTGACTTTTTTGAACCTCACGAAATATTAAACAAAATCATTGGTGAATTCCTTTATAGTCAACACAGCCACGCACAGCTTTTTGCTCAACTTCTTTTCAAAGTTAGAATTTTTTGCGCTTTCCCCTTTTTTTTCTGCTAAATTTTACTTTTTTCGAATTATTTGATATAAAATTTTGAATATTTTGTTTTATGTCTAATTAAAGAGTTGCTTATTGTTAAAATTTTTTATTAGCGACAACTAAACTGGTTTTTTTAAATAAAAACCCCCAAAAGGTCTTTGATCATATGTTACAAAAGAACCAATCATCGTTGATTGTCAATTGGGTTATGTTGTCCTTGTCTAACTTTATGCAAATAACACCACTATCGGCTGCTGTCTGGAGTCTGACGTGCATTTTTATGAGTTCATCGCAAGAATGTCCCATAAGACCATTGTAAGAATCATTGTTGTAACCTCGTATTTCGCTATTTTTGTTGATGTCTAACCAATTAAATTGTTCGTTATCAAGAATTACATTTTTTTATTATCATGGCGGTTGTTTATAATAATTAATAATTATAAGTTTCATGATGCTAATTTTTTATAGTATTTTGATAAGGTTCCCACTGGTGCTACGGCGATTTGGACAGTTAGATACATTTGATCTGCAAGCATTCTGCAGCTCTGGAGTGAGCTTCTACAACCAGCTGACTAAACTGAAAAGCAACGACATGGACGGCAGTGTCGATTGTTCATTCGTTTCTATCATTCAATCACTAGCCCAGGATAAATTGCCGTACAAACTTTTGCTTGAATCTATCATGCAATAACTCAAAGAATGTATTTATGTATGAATAAATTAATTTATTTATCGCTTGACGGGTTTGTTGATTTTGTCTGAGGGAATGCATTTGATTACTAAATAGATCAACGAATCAATGCTAGAAAAAAAATGAAACGTAAAATGATTGTGGGTGAACAAATGCAGTATATTTCATGTTATGTATATTAAAGTTGATGATAATGATTCATAAATTCAAGTGAAAAACTACTATTTTTTCGATTATTACATGACTCGTACTAATGGTCTGTTAGCCGCAGTGAAGTAAGTAAAACGTAAAGTAACTGAGCTCATTCGAATCTGATAAATATTACAGTGCTAAAGGCAACTTTTGATTCACAATTTTTACTTAAAAAAATTACAAAAAGTTGGAATTTTTACGCCAAAAATCGGCTAAGTCTTCATTAGTTTTGACAAGCTTACTGGCAAACAACTACAAATTGTTACATATCAAAACAAATCGTACATTTCAATAATAAATTTGCTTGAATTGCGTAGTTATCGTCAAAATAAAATTGGATTGGTGTCGAATGAATTAAAAAGATTAGAATTTACTTTTGCAAGCGATCAAGTTTAAGACAGAAACAATTTTTACAATTTACCTGTTAGAAAAAATTAAAACCTCAAGTCCTTTCCTTTTAATTTTTTATAACTATTAAATTGTTTAATCATTATTGTAACTATTTTTATTATAATAGTATAAATGGTAAATTAGTAAATTATTTGTTTTTTATTTAATTATGATATGAATTCAAATGTATAATACATCATACAATCATAATTATTCCAATATAAAAAAAATCATTTTTGAAGTATATTGTAAAAATTATGGTCTATTACCAACATATATATATATTATATAGAAATAATATGTATATATATATATATATATTCAATCCAATTCAAAACATATACCTACATAAAAATAACAACATAAATGAAAATAAAATCGTATAGCTAGCCAATGAAAACAAGTTTAAATTAAACCAAAAATGAGCAGAAATTACTTAGAGCAAAAATGGTCATCAAAATTTATCAAATTAAACAAAACAATTGAATTTATATTAGAAGTTTTTCCTTATAACTTAACTTAAATAATTGAAATAATTAAATCATATCCTGTAAAATAAATTTGCTCTTAAGTCAAAAATCAATTTTTAAATAGCCTGTAACTAGATACCTGTAAAACTAAACACGATAGTTTTGATCAGTTTTAAAACAAAAACTGAACATGAAATTAAAACAGTACGAGGACAATACAGTTGTATAATGGAATGTGCCGAGTTGTTTTTTGCAATATTCAGAAGATTTAATTAAATATGAATTAAACATAACAAATTTCTCCTTAACTATAACATCAAACAAGAATAATAATAATCTGAGAACTTAAAGTTTAGGAATAGACAACAAATTAGACAACGATAAATAATCTGAAATATGATCATATTTATTCAGATCATAATAAAAACGAATAAAGAAGTATAAACATCTATCTAACCCTAATACAGACGTATGCAATATATGATATATGAAATAAGTAAACCATAATTTAAAAATTAAGTAATAAGCTATTCGTAGGTACCTTATTATCAAAGTTAAAAATTGTTGTACAAGTTCAATTTTGCAAGAATAAGATAGAGTAATGAAGAGGAGGATGAAGGAAGAGATCATGATGAAGAGGAAAATGATGATGAAGAAAGAGATAGATCAAAGAAAATAGAAGATCACTATGAAAAATTACCAGTTAAAAATTTACAAGAAACACATTTATAAAGCACATACAAATCTAAACAGCTTGATTCTAGATACGTCCAGCAAAGACCAACACAAAATTGTGGCATCCACACATTCCTGTTTCTGCTGTTGAGAGGTCAGCTCATTAATTTGGAAGTTGAAGTTGCACCCATTTTCTAAAAATTTTAAATTTTCTGTACATTTGTACAAACAAAACACCATTAAATAGAAACTATTAACAAAACTTAATTAACCGGTAATTCATTAAGAATCGTTGCAGCATCATTTGTGACAATAAATTTTCAAGATGGTTGGTGACTATTTTATTCTGGCCGTCATATGCATCTTTAGTTGTGTTGGCTGATTCCCTACCAGCCTTGATGTCACTAAATATCAATACATACAGCTTCATCCAAGTCTATAAAGTGCTGGGTTTGAATAAAAATATTGAAATGAAATGACTCACCCTCCAGATGTTGAATATAACACATAAAAATTAAAAACATAATTATAACATAAAAACATACCATAACAAAGTTTTTAATATGGATCCAAGAGGAGCCATTCTAATCCCTGACAGGGCAACTCTGGGATATTAATATCCTATTTTTGCCAATTAGCTTTAAAGTTATTAGTTGTTTCTGAGCATGTTATTTCCTTAAAAGTTGTGGGTGAATTTGTAACGAAATTGTTGTCAATATTGCAGTTTGTGGTTTCAATTTGATGTTCTGCGGCAGCTGGCTGATTGGATTTGTTGATAATGAAGCACTCATTATAGGAATCATTTGGTGAATCAGCATCAACATCTTTAACATTATATTCTTTGAAACTATTTTTAGAATTATCATCAATATAATTTTTTGATATTTTGTGGCTCAATGTTTATAACACCATCCTCATGTTTAACTAAATCAAAAAAACTATCAACATCATTCTTTTCTGAATCTACTAAATTACCAACCACAATCTTATTTGCATCAATTAAATTATCAACATCAGTTTTATTTGCATCAATGGAATTGTTAGTGTCAACTTTATTTGGACCGGTTGAATTGTTAACATCATTAACATTGGAATCATTTAAATCAGAATTACTAACAGATAATCTTTCAAAAAGTTTTGAGCATGCATCAACATCGCTATGAAGAGCCTCGTCCATTGTTGCTGATGTTGTCATTCACACTGTCACAACCGCCAACGATAAATTCGTCAGTTCGTAGTTGACGCATCATTGTTGTTGCTGTTCAATTGAACTTGGAAGTAATGTTGTTGTTAATGCAGTTACCTCAATGAAGGCATTCTGAATGTCCAAGCAAGCTAAATTTAAATTCAAATTAAGAAAATTCAACTGTTCATTCATCTCTTAGATAGTTAAATAACTGATAGAATGTTATGATCGTATAGAAAAAAATTGATTAACATGAAAAAATGAATGAAAAAATTAAAAAAATTGAATGAATAAATAAAAAAATTTTGAATGAAGAATTAAATAAATTTTGAATAAAGGAATGGAAAAATATTTAATGAAGGAATAAATAAGTTCTGAATAAACCTTGAATCACTGTTGGATCCAATACATTTTGAAGAGTTTATCAACTTTTTTCTAACTTATGGCATCATTTGCGATGTTTCCATGCTATCTTCTGATGGCTTTGGAATCTATGAAACAAATATTTAACGTTATAAACTGGTTAATAAATTTGAAGGGCCTCTTTCAAATGTGTGCAGATGCATTCAGAACATAAAAGAATAAGGCACCAATTTTGTTAAACTATCAAAAAGAGTTGCATAACTTCAACTACACCTACCACTAGCATAACAAGAATCAATAACAACAACAACAACAACAATAATAATAATTATAATAATAAAAATAAAGCAACAACAGCAACCACAATTTAAAAGTAAACATCATTTTAACAAAATCATGGGACTGACAGCAATCTGATGATAAATGTTAGTATTCTCTAAATTATTGGTTGAGATTTTTATCTTTATCAGGAAGAATGGGCAGAGGTGATGATTGCGACCTTCTTCTTAGCGAGATCATAAATAAGATCTTTTTAAATTTAGACCAGGGCATTCCAGAGATGTTATTTGATTGGATACATTGGAAATGTCATGAATTTGACTGGATGCATTTGAAACATCATCTTGAACGTGATTGGTGGATGGATTATAACAACTAGCAATTATATTTCCTGTATTGTATAGTTGTTGTTAATATTATCAATATCTGTTGAATGGTTGTTGTTGCTTGTATCCATGATATCACCTTCTTGCAATATATCAGTACCATCTATCAATCACAACTTTGTTTTTATAGATATATTTTCACTTTTCCATATTTCCTTCAATAAGTTCAAAAGAAGTTCAAGGCTTCAACAATGCAAACATTCCATGGGCTATTGATATCCTTCTGTCAATTTCTTTTGTGCAGTCGTCAGATATTATACCACAATATTATCACAATACAATATGAATAACAACAAATTATCTATCAAATAAATAGATAGATTAAAAATTAAAATACTAATGGTAGATTAGATAGCAATAGAATAGAATAGATAGATTAGAAAAGATAATGTACTACATTCGGAAGGCGGTGGCAATGATAATAAGTTTTTAAAAATTGATAATTAGTGACAAAATATAAAAATAAAAATAGTAAAACATACTCAAACTCTGAAAACAAGCCTAAAAATTTTAAATCCGTCGCTAGTTCCAAATGATAATTCAAAATATTAATTTAAAAGTGAATTTGATATTTATTTTTCAGGTCGAACTATTTGACTTCCATGGATTTATTGGCTTATGAAATTGCATAGATTTTAACAAACAGTAGGTATCTTACTGAACAAAGTAGTATCATAAAATGAATAAAGATACTGTTTTCAAAAATTTGAAAAATTCTCAGTTTGATTTCATTCTAATATCGATGATAATGATTGTGACCTGACTGGTTAAAATAACATCATATAAAATTTAATAAATTGGATGGGTAATTCGTTGCAAATGCTGATGTAACCCATGTTTGAGAGTGCGCCAAAAAATGAAACAACGAAAAAGATAGAGAATCGCATTTTTAAGAAAACAAACAAGTAAAGAAGAAGCACAAATTTGAACGGCATTTAGTGAGAAGCCCCCTCGCCACGTCAAGGCAGCCGTTCATGAGGGGGTTAATAATAAAACGACAGTCTAGAAATAATAAGTAACGAAGGTCTAGAAATAATATACAACTTAACTAAAATATAATATTGTGTTGATTGTTGTGTTTGATTGCTGTTGTTCATGTTGTGTTGAACAAAATACAATACAAAAAAACTAGAACGTAAGAAAGAAAGAATAGAGTCCCTAACTTACCTATGTTCACTAAATTAACTCACCTACCTATGATCAATTAGCTCAACTTACGAATTAATCCTACCTATTTGTACAATTACGAAGAAAAAAGTAAGGAAATGAGAATAAAACATCAAGCAAACAAAACAACGAATATATGTATGTATGTATGTATATGCATGTATGTATGTATATGCATGTATGTATGTATATGCATGTATGTATGTATATGCATGTATGTATGTATATGCATTATTATTATTATTATTAAGGATAACTTCTAGAGCGCCCATTAAATGTTCTCACAGGCGCTCTCAAAAATAAAGCAATTATATACGTGACAAACAAAATAGTACAAAATCAAGTAGTACAGAATTCAATGTAATTTCAACAAAAATAAAAATGTCTTTAATCTTTTTTAAATGCTCGAAGATGAAGCCCAGCTTTCTTA